GGCAGCAGTTTCGAGGGGTCTCACAAGCCTTTCTCCACGTTTCAGAGCGATGAGCGCCTGGGCCGGCCTGCGGCACGCGGGCAGCACCTGCCCCTTGTCTCGCCTCGTCTCCTTGGCCAAGCCCGCAGGAGGATACCGCCACCTCTGTTGCCTAAAGCCCCCCGCCGCGAGCCGTCCCACGACGGGAAGCGTCCGTATCTCTAGGAACGGCCCGGAGAAAAGCCAGGGGCAGGTGTGGCAGGTTGAGAAGGCGCCCGATAGTGGTGGAGGACCCCATGTCCTGCCCCCTCCACGCCGGCTCGGTGAGGGCGTGCTGCGTGCAGTCGTTCCTCCAGGCCCTCGCGCCAGTCGCCCGCGTGCCGGGGATGTTCGGGCCGCCTGCTTCGTCCACACGTCGTCGTCCTTGCGAGCCGCTCCGATTCCAGCCTTGTGGATCCTCCTGAAACCCGCTCAGAAACTATTTGCTATCATTCTGGGCAGGTAAAACGCCGCCTCCGTTCCCGTCTTCAGAGAGCGACTCTGTTCGGCTCAGTGCGGCCAGCGATGAGTTGTCTTTGTGGTCGGCCCCTTGCAGCGTTTAGGGTTGAATGCTTGTGTCGGTGTAAACCTCGGCAGGCTTGTAAATTAGCTCCTATTTGTCATCTGAAAACCTGGTCCGTACCTGCATCAGACTAGCATTGAACGCCAGTGGCCAAAACAATGCGGCCCTACACGCAGCATTGGTCCGCGGGGCCGGATCCTGTGCCGGGCTCAGTCTGCGGGGTGGGTCCCCTGTGCACGGGGTCAGTCTGCGGGGCCATAGACTGAGCGCCACCGTTTTTGGTTGCTAGCAGGGACGGGTCCAGGGGGTGTGCCGTGGTGCGGTTGCGTCTCCCTTTGCTGCCATGAGCACTCTGGTCTCAGTTGCCAGGCACGTACAGTGAGTTTGCTGTGCATGTGCAGCGAGCTCTCCAGCCTTGCTGCACCTCTTTTCACCTTCCTGGATGTGCTGTTGGCCATTAGGAACTTTTCTGTGGCGTGGAGCAATAAAAATCATGCACTCACAGTTTATTCAGGGCCTAAAAATACTGGCTTTTGGTTTTTCAAGGGTGACGCACATCCTTAACTGAAAATTCAGGCTACAATGGACAGTGACATAGTTTTAAAAGTTGCACTGATGTTTAAGGAATATATATACCTTAGATGTCTGTTTTTGTAGGTTACCAGACACACTTCATGTTTGCCAGAGATGTGGTTGTAGGCAAAAGCAGAAAGCAAGAACCTGGGATTCTCTCTTCCCCGTGCAAGACAAAAGAACAGCCCCTGCCACTGACCTAAGTGCCATGTTGGCTTCAGGCCTGAGAGAAAGTGATGGTGGTTGTTTTTTCTGGTCACAGCATGTGCTGCACTTACACAGTATAGCCATGCAGTTCAGACAGAGGTTGATTGTGTGGCTGGCTTTTGCAAGGAAATGGAGTATCATTCTCTTTACTTTTTAGTGAAGTTTTTAATATTTTTTTTTGTTTCTATTATTTTCGGTAGGCAAAATCTTTGGCACATTCTTCAAAGGGAAGTCAGGGTGAAAAACCCAGTTCTTTCAGATATTTTAGACTAGAACACAAACAAGAAGTCCTTTAGCCTTCACTTCCCATTAGAAGCACAGGAAACGTAGCTAGTTGCTAAGCTGTAAATATTGAGAAGGCTGCCTATCTTCTAAAACGTACACTAGGTCATCATTGTAAATACTTTAAAAATAAAATTAAAACTGTGATTTTTTTTTTCCCTAACCAGATGAGAAAGCTAAATGTTTAAATGCTTTGCCTTAAAAAAAGGAAGCATTTATCTTGTGACACTTCTGTTCTTTAAACAAAGTATGTACTGCTCCATAAATCCACTGAATCTTGCATCACAGAATTTTTAGCATTTTGTAGATGTTAGCATCTAAAGTTTGCCCTCATACTTGTAGGGCTGGTAAGCATTATGCTCATTGACTAATGTGAAATATTTGTTTTCCAGGAGCATAAGAAAATGGTGGAAGGCCCTTCCCCCCAACAAAAAAGAACTCTTTAAAGAAAGTGTAAGAAAAAATAAATGGAGACTCCTTCTAGGTGCCTGTAGCTTGGGAGCTTTATACATCATGTTTTATTTTACTCACCTGGAAGAGACTCCAATCACTGGTCGTACTAGACTACTAGTGTTTGGGAAAGAACAGTTTCAGCAGTTGTCACAGCTGGAATATAATATGGTAAGTGTTGTAAGGAAACAAAGTCCTGCTAGTGATGTATTCCACAGGCCTACTAGATATCCTTCTGGATATTTGGTAATTTGGACTAGTGTATTTGTCTCTCGTAACTGGATAGGCTCCTGATACATGCTTTTCTTTAGGCACTCTGGTGTGCTTTGAGGGTACATACTGTATATCACCCCTTTGCAGAAGTGGTACCTTGCAGTCCTTGCACCCCAGCCCACAACCTACTCAAACTCTTTGTTTTCCTGAGTTTCTGCTTGGTGAGCTCTCTTCATGGACATAATGAAGCAAATAGTACACAGGCTGTGCAAAGGTTTCTAATGCAGTTATTCTAGTTTAGGTAGCACAAAAGCTATAACCATCAGGGGAAAAGAGTATTCATGTTTTTAACTCCGTGTATCAGTTTCTTGAGCATTCTTTGGGACTTGATCAGAATCCTCTGAAGAGTCCAGATTTTGTCTTCTCCAAATGCTTAGTTATTGGCCCAGTGGAGGGAGAACTCGTTTTCTTTGCACAATCACTTTCTGTAGCATATACATTGTATTGCTCAGCCTATTCTAGTGTTAGTGAGTCTTGGTAATTTGCTCACCCAACCGTGTCAAGAAGATGCCACTTCACAGTCACTTAGTTCAGGGAGGGACATAAGAACACAGTAAAAGACAGTCTTATGAATGATATAGGGATAGAGGCAGGTCATAAAAGCAAACTGGGATGCATAGACAGATTTTCCAGACTGGTGTACCATATTTGAGCTGCATCCCTTAGGAAATGTCCAGGTCTGGAAAAGGCATATACATAATACAATACAACTACATATTTTGCAATAATTGTCAGCCATGCTGAGTTCTTTCATTAAATAAATCATGTGAATCATCCTTTTTTAAATAAATAAACACACAAATGGTTTTTTAATGCGAAATAGCAGTATCTATGTTAAGTGTTTTGTAACTATCCCTTTCATCTTGTGATATGAACATTCCTGAGGTACCAGTAAGCCAGGCTGTTTTGTACTAAATCTAATACACTGTCATTTGGTGTAAACTGAAATTCTGCTTGGCAGCAAATATTGATATGTGGTAGGCACAGGCATAGGATTCAGTGAACAGCAGGGACAAGAGACAGAGGATAAGAAGTAGGATTATTGAGCGGTAGCCAGGGGGACATAGCTGTTGGCTGGTAGAAGACAGGAACACAGAAGTGGAGCTGGGGAGCACTGATTTAGACCTTAATATCTAGGAAAAACAAATTCGCCTTTTGTGCAGTCTTTTAATGATGGATCCCAATTCTGATGTCCCTTCCTCTGTTTTTGAATTAAATATTTTTATCTCAGTGCTAGACTTGTTTCTAAGAATTTTGCTTTTCATAAGACACTTTGGCTGCAAAATAAAATACACTATAGACATGCTTTTTAATCTGAAATCTCTACTTGAAATGTGTAGCATCACAATAACACAATATGGTGTTGCTACTTTGACTAAAATGTTTTAGGCATTATGAAGATTAAGATAAAGATGTGAGATAAAAATGCTTCACTTCAGTTTTTCAAAGGATTATTCGTAAGCACATCAGTCTTCTTGGGACACTTTTTAGAATGGAATTTATTCTTGACATTTTTACCCAAAATCCTTATCTAAAGAGTTTACAGTCTTTGGGAAAAAAATCATTTGAAGTAAGCAAACAATATTTCAAGGAAGGATAAACCTTACAGTGTTGTGTTTCTCAGTTTTGATACAGGTGTATTTTGAGATGTGTATGAATGTGCTGACTTAAAGCAGTTAATAACTTGTGGGGCTGTGGATTCATTTGGATCAAAAGTATGTGAATATAATTCAACGGAGTCCGCATCTCCATTTGAAATATCCAGAAGGGTCTGCACCTCCATTTCAAAATGTTTAGGTTTCTGCAAATGAAAACTTAAAAATCACTGGCCTGGAATAATAATATTTACTTTTTTGTTACACTTCTACTGTGCTACATGTGTATATTGTATCATTATATCACTTAGTCTCTGTACTGCCTCCTTCATTCTGTGTGAAAGAAACTCAACAAGTTATCTCTTTTCAGTGGATGGAAAAGTTTGAAAATGAAATGTTACCTGAGACAGACACTCGCTATCAAGTTGTGAAAAAAGTAGTTCATCATCTCTCTGAAAGCAACCAGGACATCCCACAGTTCTCAGAGTTTAAGTGGGTTATCCATGTAGTGGAGGAACCAGGCATAAATGCTTTTGTGCTTCCAGTAAGTAAAAGCAAAAGTTAGTAGTAGTACTGCAGCAAAAATGTAGTGTTTATACACAGGGCCTAATCTGCTTTTTTCCTTTTTGCTTCTAGAATGGAGAAGTGTTTGTTTTCACGGGGTTACTAAATGCAGTGTCAGATGTTCATCAGCTCTCTTTCATTTTGGGACATGAGATAGCTCACGCTGTGTTGGGACATGCGGTAAGTACTTACAAGTAAAAAAAAAAAAAAAAAAAAAAAAAGGGAAAAAAGTGTCTTAATATAGTCACTTTTGGGTAAAGTGTTTTTAAAGTGGGGTTTCTTCATTAGTGTAAATCGTCATCCTTTTATGCTGTCCCAGATTGAATGAGGACATTGAAAAGGGATTGTCCTGACCCTGCATATGCTTATTATTATAAATTATTACTATAAATAGCATTTACTACCATGAGTAATGCCCTGATAGTAAGTGTTACCACTACATCTGCTAGTAGGCATTGGAGATCAGACCTGGTGTGGTTTACATTTCATTACATTGAGGGTTGCAGGTAGTCAGTACCTTATCTTCTTAAACTTCGTGACAATGAAGATGAATATTTCTTAGCTTCTAAAACACAAGTTGCCAGGACTTCTTTAGCAACTTTTTCAAAAGTTATAGATAGGGAGCCTGAAATCTGCTTCTTTGTTTGCATGCCCAGTCAGGTATTTGTAAAAGTGAGCATGAGCCCCAGCTGTAATGTGCCCATGTTAAAACTTTTCAGCATTGCAGGTATAGCTTTGGAAAAACAAACTGGGAAATAAAATTGGGCACTAAATGTAATCAGCTTTGTACTGGTGTATCAAACCAGCAGCTGACAGAAGACACATCTCTAAAATGGGGTAAATTTGCCTAACTCAGTGGAGACTTATCCTTGAAAAAACAGGGGTAAAACTTTACTGATTGAGGTTATATCTATCCACACCCATCCAGGCAGCACCATGCTGCTTGTATATCCATACCCCTGCCATTAGCTGAAGGTAAGCAGGTTACCTCCATCTTGACTTCTAGTAATAGTAACCTGGCTGTGTTGGCCAGCGGGGGGTGGTGTCCATTCTCAATTCAAGTCACGTATATCAGCAGACAGGACTGGTGTAAATTATACCAGGTTGGTGTTCATCTAATCACATCCTTGTTCAGTTTTATTATTTTTAATCCAGTGGTGTTCAATCTTTTGGTCCCACAGGCCAGATGAGTGGCCTGGAGCTGGTCCGTGGGCCAGATGCAGTCAAAATCAGTCCCTTGGGCATAACACTGCCACCTCCATGCCCTTTATGCTAGGACTAGGTTCTGTTGGGCCTGGCACCACATCCTTTCTTTGGGAATTGGGTCTAGGTGCCCTCCTGGCTCTGCACACTGGAATTGGGCCCCAGCACCACCACCTTGTACCCTCACATGCCAGGATTGGGCCGCAGAGCCCTGGTACTGCCATCCTCCTTCCTCTCCACATACTGGGATTGGGCCTCAATGCAACCTCCTTCAGGCCCTGCTCATGGGGATCAGATGCCCAATCCTCCATGCAGGACCCAGGGCTCTTCATGGGAAATTTGGCAGTAGGAGTGCAGTGCCACTTCTCTGTTGCTGCCAGACTTCCAGAACCCTGGGGAGCTCTGCAGGCTGGATATGGCCCAGAGGTGGGGGGCATTGAATACCCCTGTTCTAACCCATTTAAGGGAAAGCACTATTGGAAATGCTTAGTTTACTTCTGCTCTGTTTATAGAATACTTGTATGACCTTGGGCAGGTTACTTCTTTTCTCTGTGCATCACCTTCCTCTAAACATGTGGATAATAGCTCCCTTCCTCAAAGGCTGTATTTTTCACATACAACTTACATCTTTCTGCCAAAAAAGCTGCTGCTGGAAGTTGCAGTGTGCATTATGTGCAAGAACTATGGTAAGAGCAGTTTCTTTCTTACAGAACAAAAGTGAAAGTAAAACTTGCATGCGACTCATGGAGCAGAACAGCATACAGGCTCGGCTCCCTTTACAGCTGAGAGAGATTTTTTTCCCCCCTTCATTTTGCCTTTCAGAAACAAGGTGTACATCTTATCCCAGGGCTCCTTTGAAGTACCATGTTTGGGTTTTTTTTAAGTTCTAAGTATGATCATGGGGGCCTGTAAGCAGATGGGATAGTCCTGACTACTATGTCAAATAAAAGTCCCAGCAGCAGCAGAACTTGCTCGTCCTTCATCAAAACTATCTGTACTTCTAACACCAAAACAGCTCCACAAAAATCAAAACAGCCAAACTGGGTCTGGCTGCCTGACTGCTCCTAATACCTCTTCCTCATAAGGACAGTAGGTTTCTATAGTCAGCCTTTCCCTTGACATGGGGTCCCCTGCTGGAGTGTTGTTTACTAGCCTTTTCTCCTCTGGATCAAACATCACCTTGTCTTAGGTCTCAAACCCTTCACCTGGGGGCAGCTAATTTAATGACGCTGGACACGTTTACACATGCCTATTAATGTGCATCAGTAAGCTCCGGAGCTTATATCTCAAGCTTGTTGCTGCCGGGTATGTGTCTGCATGTGTGTCTGGGATTGTTGAGCCAGGGTGGAACAGCCCTGGCTGGCATGGGGCCCTGAGGTCAGCCTGTCAGCCCAAAGCTGCTGCCCCCAGCTCAGCGTGCTGCAGAGGGGCTGGCTGGGGCACAAGGTTGCTTCAGTGCATCCTCCTGCCCCAGCCAGCCCCTCTAGCATGTACACATGCGCAGCTGCAGTCTTTTACTGTACAGCAGGATAATACTGGTATTTAGAAGTATTGTCCTGTTGTGGAATAAGTTAGGTTCCTCCAGCCTAACCAGAGCACATATGTAGATGCCAAGACGTTTACTGCACACCTAATTAGTCTACTGCGCAATAAATATCTTGTGTAGATGTGCCCACTTAGGAAAAGTCTACCTCCTTTAAAAGAGCCATTTCCACCCTATAACAGGAGCATCTGGATGTCTAAGATAGACCATTCTTTTCTATCTTAAATTTGGAAATACACCAAACAATAGCATATGAGAGAGGAAATGATTGAAAACAGCACTGTTTTTGTTTTCAGGCAGAAAAGGCCAGTCTGGTACATTTCGTGGATTTCCTGTCACTCATCTTTCTCACTATGATTTGGGCCATTTGTCCTAGAGATAGCTTGGCAATTCTTGGCCAGTGGATCCAGAGCAAGATGCAGGAGGTAAGACAGTATCTATGGAACTGCTGCACTAGCTAGTTACAATGTCTGGTTCAGTAACTGGTGTCACAGAATGGAAGTATGCCTTTAAAGCAGGATGCATGCTTGATTTATGCACGAACGTCTACTTCAGTCTCTCCTTCAATGATAAAAGGTCTTCTACCGCTGCATAAGGTGGCTTACTGCAGTGATTCCAAACAGTCAGATCTTGGCTTAGGTAAAATCTACTTTAGCGTGGAATATTGAGAGAGAACCAGGGGACATAGAGGCAGATTGCAAGACTTCATATCATAGTCTTGGGATACTTCATAGCTCTTTCATACCTCTTTTGGTAGGCAGAAAATCTTTGAAATTCTTTAAAAGTTTTGATATCCGCCATGTCTTTACTACCTTGTTCTCACCTGGCGCAGAGCTGTTGTACTTACCTGCCTCCGATCTCAACCTTGTCCACGGAAAAGCCCCTTATTGTTCCTTTGGTGAATTATTTTGGTTACCTTGCAGAATAAACTAGGGCTACCTGAGCTACTTTTATAGAAGAGCTAGTGACTGCAGATTTCTTTCTGTACGAATTGCCAGACCTGCTTGCTTGGTGCTCACTTTTCGTAGTTTTTTTGTTTTTTTTTCCTGAAATAGGAAGGAGGGAAACATTTCATATTCCAAAAACTTTCCATCTGAGAGTCAGCTACAGGAAGAGCTGGCAGAAACTGTTTCTCTAATATACGTGTAGTAAACTCCTTCTGTCTGGTTGTATTTCCCAATTGATGCCCAGCCCAGAGAGTCATACTATTATGCTGCCTCAGTAGAGCAAGATGATATTTCAACAATCCATAATTTTTATTCATCATAAGCTTTTATTACACCCTTATTTATCTGGGTATGATTAAATAAGATGTGTTTGTGCTTGAAGATTGGGGGTTATATAACTTTATTCATTTGATAAGTCTTAATACAACATTCTTTGCACTCCTAGAGAGTTGGCTGGATTAACCACTTCAGCTCCTGTGTTTCTTAAGGAGTATTTACAACTTGTGTTACAAGCGTAATCATGTAAACGGATTAATTTCTTACAGAAAATCTGCCACTGTGGATTGTCTTGTTTATAATCTCATGTGTGCATCATATGAGATCATATTTTAGATTTTAATCATATGATTTTGATTTGAAATATGACCTGCTTGAAAATACCACTGTTTGAAACCTTGACCTATTGTTAAGACCAAAGCCTAACATTGATGCAAAGTGAAAGATTAGACAGAGAGTCTCTTGCTTTGTTTGTGATCAGCTTGTTTCACGCAGCAATGATTCACATCTTTACTTTAACTCCCCTTTTTAAAATTGACTTAAGTTCAATACAGTTAAATACAGAGTTTGGAGAAGGCTCTGAGATTCACTGAAGGAAGCACTTTCATTCTTAGTCCTTAGCAGTGTTTATGTAAGTTTTCAAGTTATGATCACTTCATAAATAGGTGAGAGCAAGGGTTCTAAATTGAGGATCTGAAATATTTCTCTCCCAGTTTATATTTGATAGACCCTACAGCAGAACACTGGAAGCTGAAGCTGACAAAGTGGGACTTCAGCTGGCTGCAAAGGTAAGAATTATGACTGCTTCTTGTTTTTAACAGTGAAATATCAATTTTTTTTCTCTTTCTGTTTCCATTGTTATTCGAGTAAGTTCTTTGCAGATGATGCTTTATGTACAAGTACATTTTGGTTTTTCAGTCTTAGGATTCCTAACATTTTGCCAAATGGGGTTTTCTTGAAATCAAGGGGAGAATAAAACGGTCTTTTGGGAAATCCATAGCCATTTTACTAATAGTGTGTCATAACTGGAAATTGTAAAATTGTGCCTTGTTAACTACAAAGAACGCTTTCCGCAGGTTTTAGTCCTAATAAGAGGAAACGCTACTTGTTCTTAAACAAGTGAAAGCCAACTAGTGAATTGTCATGATTAAAATACATATAAATATGTTTGCATGATATATTTAAAAACTCCTGAGTCCTTTAATTGTTGATTATTCAACTAGCTTCCACCTTTTATAAATGGTGTCAGTAAATTTATGAATTACTTTTGATATGCAAGTTGCTTCATATGTGCAACAGATGACTGGCACCAGATGATGTGATTCTTCCTAATGTGACTTGTTTATATGCTATTTGTAGCTGTTTGTTGTGTAATTCATGCACAAGTTCATCCTTTTATCCTTGAAAGATGTCAAGGCCAAATATAAATAAGAATTTAGGTGTGTTGGTGCTGAATATTGCAATACCTAAAAGTCAGGTGTTGAGCTGTCAAAGTGGAGTTTAGAAACCCAATTTGGGAACTTTAGTCCTATATACTTTAAAACGGATGAGATAGGTGCCTGGAATTGGAAATTACAACACTCAGGTAGCTGATGGGGGGGAAGGAGGGGCGAGGAATGCCTAAACTAGCCCACAGGGAAGGCAAAGTGAGGGGTGTGCCAGAAATCACACTTCTTTCTGACTTTTGACTTGCAAAAATGTGGGTGCCCGGAAGTCCTGGGTACGTAACCAAGTTAGGCAGAGTTCTGTGGATTGCTCTCTTAGATCTAGGTACCTAATTTCTACCTAAATTTAATTTCAGATATCCAAATACCTTTTGTTTCTGGTCTTCACTTCATGCATTAAACAAACTAAGCAGGACCTCTTAGCTCTACCCATGTATAGTGTTTGGCAGTTTTAGATAACTATGCGAACAGCACCACCTAGAGTTACTACTTCATAATAAGGAAAAGAAATTGGAATTATCATTGCTAGAATATATTTTGAAAACCTCTAAAAGACTAAGGTTTAAGCACAAGTGGATAATCTAGGGTTGAAATAATTGCTTTTGATGGCTGTTGTAAATCAGAAGCAAAGATCAAGGTGCCTTGTAGGTGTATTGGAAAAATGTCATTGGTAACTAACTTACCAGGGCAAAGCCCTGCTGCTTTCCAGGATCTGTTGTGGCACTCGTAGATGCCAACACAAATGCTGATCCATGCTATCTGCAGCAGCTGGAGCTATTACAACTTTATAAATATTTTCTAAGATTAGTGTTAAGCTCAGAGGAAAAGAGATCATCATGGTAAATGTAATGCAACTTTGTCCTCAAACCTGGATGCTTGTTTACAAGTATGTAATTATTGGAGCTCAAAACAGGAGTTGGATTAGGCACTAGTTATGTCTAGAAACAGTCTCTCATTTGCTGTGGTATTTAGGGCAAGTTACTTCAATGTCTGTATATCAGTTTCCTTGCCACTAAAAGAGGGTGGTAGGATTTTTTCCTTATTAACATTTCAAAAGGCATTTGTACTTCTATAGTGATTTTCTTCCAGAGATGTCAAAGTACTGTGTAAACCACACATATGACTGTGGTGTCTGTGAAATGATTTTTTTACTTAAGTAGCTTATCTTTTTACATCAGCTTTTCCGCTTGTGTTGCAACCTCTTATTCATCTTTATCAAGAATATTTTATGATCTTAATCTCTGGGTAGTTGATTTCAGTTCTTTATTTTCAGAAGAAACCTACAGGGAAAAAAGCTACACAACACTGCTTTCTTTCACATGAATGCAAAGTACATAGCAGAAAATATGCAGGTATATGGAGGTATATGCAGGTATATGAACAGGGATTGGCAACCTATGGCCCATGGGCTGGATCCAGCCTGCCAAGTCATCTTTCTGCCCTGTGATACTGGCAGCGTTCTAGTAATGGGAGAAGTAGTGACAGCAGTGGCTGGGTCTGTGGCTTTGGTTCGCTGCTCCAAAAAGGTTTCTGACTTCTGATTGAGATCTTACATATTCAGTCTTATATAAATACGTGTTTTGATTTGCAATATCACATGGCCTGCTATGCTTTAATTCCTATTGGTATCAAGGGATAAGGGTACTTGCTTTTCAGCTGTATAAAGGATCAGTTTTTGCCCTCGGCAAGTTGCAAGTGATTATACCTTTTTAAACATGTAGCATTTTATCTTACAGGAAAGCCATTGTGGATAGTTTTTAGATGCACGTAATATAGTTTAATACTTGTTTTTGGCTTTACAGTGACTCCTGAAAATGCTCTTTGTAGTGTGGAAGGGTGAGGGAAGTGGGGCAGAGTTGCATATGAGCCAGCAAAGTAGTCAGGGTAAAAAAATCCACCGAAACATTGTTTGCAAAATCTGTGCCATAAACAAAGCAAATGTTTGGTGTCAAGGATTTAAGAGTCCCTTTTGAAACTTGCCCATGACTTCCACATTCCTGAGAAATTTGGTCTTTTCATACTTTGTCAATATGACCTCCGTGCTGAAATTATGGATACTTTGCGTACTATGCTATATATATATATAGATAGATAGATAGATAGATTCCCCCCTTTCTTCCCATATATTTTGCTTGTTATCTGTTAGATGCATAGTAACATTTTTTTCCCCCTCCATCACTTATATAACACCAGTATAAAGAGACTCCTTGGCCTTATTCTTACCCTTTCCTGCTCAGTATGTCTAGTCTGACTTGATCTCCCTTGGTACCTCTGCTCATGTGACCAGGGCATCTTGTTGGTCTTATCCTTGTGCTGCCCGATGGATGGTGACAGCCCTCTGCAAACTGTTTAGTGTGTGGTGTGCTTGACTTCCTGCAGTGATGCTTTCTGGAAGCAGAGAATGTTGTCCATGGAGAAGGGAGAAAGTAGCAAAAATAGAAGTTTAGAGTCCAGCCAGCTTTTTTAAGCAATGCTCTCAGAAGTCTCATGTACCTTGAAGAGCTTTGCCAGCTCCCTCCTACTACCAGTTTCCTGCCTTGATTGCAATGCAAGATCCTTTGGTTTTCCTGGGCGTTCTAGATATAGGAAGTGAGAACCTTTTAAACTAAAGTAAGTGTATGCAGCGGTGTTTTCCAACCAGTGTGCTGCAGCACAGAAGAGTGCCATGGAATTTTGCCAGGACAATGAGCTACAATAGGTATGAAGATGGGGAATGCCTTAACAGGTGTGCTGCAGAAAAGTTTTATTAATGTTAAGTGTGCCTTGTTTTGGAAAAGGTTGAAAAACACTGGTATCCAGCATTCCTTTGTAGTACTTTGTATTGACGCTGGGAAATACCCTTAACCCTGCAGATAGAATTTAACGACAAATATTTTGCTTGATAAGATGGCTAATACTTTTGACGGAGGATCATCATTGCCTGGGGTATGTTTAAATGATTTTCATCTCTCTGAGTGATCATCACACTGCAGGCCACTTAACACTTTTTTAGAAACTTTTTAACATTGCATCTAAAGCCAATATTCCCAACAGGTTTTTTTTATAAATTCTGATTGGGTATGGCAGAGCACCAGTGGGGTGCTCGTCACTCTGGGGCTGTTACAAGCTCCGTGGAAGCTTGCTTGCGGAGAAGCAAGGAAAAGCCTTTCCCAAGAACCATTTTAAAGGGAGAAGGTGGGTGGCAGAACACATTGGGTGTCTGCCACTTTAAGAGCTGGCGGCAGGTGTTGCCCCAGCTCTGATGAGCTGCCATTTTAGATCCAGGCCAGCAGAGCTGGAGGCAGCAGGTGCCTGATGCCATGGAAAGAACATCCCCCAGACCTACTGCTCCCGCAACAACTAGGAGGTAAGGGCAGGAGCTTATGGGGATGGCTTGGAGGCTCCTGGTCCTGGGCATGACTTGAAACTGCACCTTGCTGAGGAAGGGTGACCTGGTGGGGGTCTTAGTGGTGTAGGAACCCCCAGGAAATGCCAGGCCAGTTACCTCCCTGGTGAAAGGTGAGGAGGGGTGCCTTAACCCCAGCCTCCACCTTCGGGTGGGCTGTTTAACACTAGAGGCAGCAGAGGACCAGGCATGCCCTGAGCCCATGGGCACCTGAGCCCGTGTGGCGTCCAAGACCCCAGAGAGTGGATAGTGGGGCCAGGCTTGGTTACAACCACCTGAGCCTGTGTGCAGCACAAGACCCTGAAGAGCAAGAATGGTGAGCCAGGCATGCCCCAGTGTGGCACCTGAGCCTGTGTGAGGTGCAAAACCCTGGAAAGTAGATAGTGGGGCTAGGCATGGCTGTAGCCACCTGAGCCCGGGTAGGGTACAGGACCCTGGAGAGCAAGAATGGTGGGCCAGGCATGCCGATGAGTGGCACCTTAGCCTGCGGGGGAGCGTTCGACCCCAGACCCCAGCATAGAGGATGGAGTATGTGCCTCAGTGGAGGTGGGGTGCAGAGGGGCACCTGACGGGCTGCACCAGAAGGGCAGTTGGGAGACCCTGGAGAGAGGGGTGAGTCAACAGGGGTAGTAGTGTGGCCCTGTGAGGAAGGGACATGAAGTGGGCCTTGGTGAGCAGGGGGCCTGAGGGTATGTCCTGCTAACATGGGGGTTGAGTTAAGTCCAGGTAAGCTTTCAGGTGCCTGAGGCCACAGGCGGGCTGGAGGCTGATTGGGTGGGGTGGCAAGTAAATAATGGGGCGAGTCAGGAGCCCGTGATTGAGAGCAGCTGGGTGAGTGACCTGGCAAGAGACCAAAGGCAGAGTCAGACCAGTGTTTGGTGAACCACCCAGTGCTCGCTCGGATGAGGGCAGAGGGAGATGCCCAAGATGTTGCACACTTGCTGGCTGGGGAGTGAAGGGAAACAAGCCTGAGGACCCTCCGGGTGAGGGCAGGCCGAGTGTGGCTCCGGGGAAAAGGCAAGACAGTACAAGTGTGGCCCCACAAGGGGCAGTATGAGAGAGACCATGTGAGAGGCAATGGAGTGAGAGACTTCAGTGAGAGGGAGGTGGTATGAGTATGGCCCATAATAGGGTAGAATGTGAGAGGCCTAACACTGGTGAGTTGGGCCCAGCCTTGGGCTGGAGCACAGAACAGCTGTTAGAAACATCTGCAAGGCTTGGGATGCAGTACAGGGGTGGTTGGAGCTGCATACATAGGCCCAGGAGAACAGGGCATTCAAAGGACAGCCTCCCGTCTAGTTAAGACCCTAATCATTTAACAACAAGGCATGGGAGGTGAGAGAGGTGGGTGGCATGCCCAGAGGCAGGTGGGAGAGTAGCACTGTGGTTGGTCAGGGAGTTCCCATGTTGCCACATTGGGTATTTTTACAATTTTAAAAATTGTGACTTTTTCTGGCCATGTTTCTTCATAGAGCACGTCTCAGAATCCTTCTTTCATCCTTTCTGTGTTTTTTTTTTTTCTTGTCATCACAGTGCTGTGTAAAGTAGAATTGGGTAGTAAATGATTTTTAGATTCTGTGAAAATATTAGTGTCTTCACCAGTGTTCGTAGTCTGCATAAGGGTGAAGCAGACCTTTCAAAGTTACTTCAGATTGAGCCCGGTGCCCCTGTTGCCCACCTCTGAATAGCCAATTGGCCATGAGTTGGGGCTTCTCTCTGATGTATAGGAGACTGAGATTCATGTTTTAGCCCAGGGGTGCTTGAGCAGATCTGGCCCCTGATGTTGTGTTATTCAGCCCACTGGGCTTCTCACAGGTTTGAAAATTTGACAGTACGGGATCGGTGGCATTGTTCCCCTACTGCCAGGTTTCCAGACCCATGGAGAGCCCCATGGTCCAGATAGCATGGGCTTACACATTAGAGTGGGGCCTGATCCCAGTGCATGGCCCCACATCCCAGTCCCAGTGCACAGGGCTAGATGGGGGTGACATATGGCACCAGGACCCAATTTTAGTATATGGAATGTGATCCCAACACACGGGGGCAGTGGTGCCTGCCACTCAAAGGGCGTGTGTAGGCAGCAGAGGCAGCTGGCAGGTGGCTTCACTCCCCAATTAGGAGTCACATGGCTAGCAGGAGACTGTCTGATTGGGAAAGAAGGCTGAGCAGCTGACCATAAAAGCAGTCTAGAGCAGTAAAGCCTAGCAGCAGTTGTTGTAAGCAGCTGGAGGCAGAACATCATCCAGTTGGAGCTGCTGCTCATGAACACCCGGAGGACAGGGTAGGAACTATGGGGATGGCAGGAGGTTTCTGATCCTGGGCATGACCTAAAACTACACCCTGCTGGGGTTGGATGGTGTGGTGGTGCTCTTTGTGGCAGGGCAGCTTCTGGGAAATGCCACACCTGTGCCTCCCTAGTGAAGGGCGAGTATGGGGTGTCAGAAAGCCTCAGCCCTCTCTGCCTTGCGGGTTACCCTGTGGAGGGGAAGGGCTAGGGGAGGACACCCTGAGAGAAAAGCACAGCCACCCAGACCCACTGAGGGGTGTCTGTGGCAGAGGCCTAGGCCCACCATGAGGGTCCTGAGCCAGGGTTCAGTTAAGTCGACAGGCACCTGAGGCCCAAAGGGTCCAGGTATGTCAACAGATGTTTGAGACCTGCACAGCCGTAGGCTGAGTTAAGGGGCCCAGGTAAGTTGTCAGATGCCTGAGGCCCAGAGGTCTCAACAAGGGGGCAGAGTAGAGTTATAGGGACCCGATGGCAGTTAAGAGTAGGGCCTGAAGATGGCCTGAAGTGCTGCACATAAGCTGTCTGGAGTAATGGCCACAAGTAGCAGTGTAGAATAGGGCCCAAGACAGTCTGAAGGGCTGCATAAGATGCTGACTAGGCTAGCCACACCTGGCAACGCTGTAGAGTAGGGTCTGAAGACGGTCTAAAGGGCTGCACAGAAGCTGACCGGTATAGTTAGAATAGGGGGCCTCAGTGAAGGGCTGAGGAGTTAAAGGTCCAGGTATGTCCAAAGATGCTTGAGGCCTAGTTTGGGCCACTCTGGCCTAAACAAGGAGCCAGGGTAGTAGTGGAAAATTTGGATGCCATCTGCGAGGCATGGGACATGGTAAAAGGGAAGGTTCGGAGCTGCGTAATATGCCCTTGGCATTGTGCTTTAAAATGGGCAGCCTCCTGCTTTAAAAACAAACAACTTATTGTTTACATCAAGGCATGGCAGACGAGTATAGGTGGGCAGACTGCCCAGACAGGGAGGTGGGTGGGCCTGGTGCCTGGCCCTGCTAGTTACCCTGTTACAAATGAGTGTAGTTATGTTGAATACGGCAGGTCATCCAGACTCCAGAGTTGCTCCTGTGGCCACAGACGCTAGAATTAGAATAGCAGCAGATCCTAAGCTGCTTGCCAAAAAATTGGATATTATATCCTGTCTTTGTTTTTCCTCCCTTCCAAAAATTCTTTTCAGTCTTTTGAGTTTCCTCCAGTGGGGATTCTGGTGGTTGGGAGCAGGGGGGTTTAATTTGTTCGTCTCGGGTTCTACGCATAGTTGTTGTTAATAAACCACATCTTTCAGCTGCTTATGGTAGACTGAAACTAAAGAATTATTCAATTACCTTTTGATTAACCATTTGTGTGCCTAGTTAAATACCAAGTCTCTTCTTTAATTCAGGTGTAATTTTATTGAAGTCAATGCAGATACAGGGAGGGGTGTGAGGAGTAGCAGGCCCAGAAGCAAGTGAGTGACTTTATCTTAGCTGCAACACCCATTTCCTGTAGCTGCATCAGGGCTAAATCTGGCACTGCATACGAACTGTCATTTCCATCTGTGCATCTTCTTTGCATTACTTTATTAATGTAATATTAAATTTATTGTAACCCGGGCAGTACTCCAAAAGGTACCCCCTCTCCAATTGAAGGGATCAAAGCAGATGCACAAGCGCTGTGGGAGGTGTAGGGACCCTCCTCCTCCTATAGAGCAGAGCCAGACCACCACTGGGGACTTAATCATATACCTTTTAAAGAGGGAACAATACTGGGAACATAGCAGGCATAATCAGGGGGTATAGTGGACACTACAATGCCCCAAGGGGGCAGGATTCAACAGAAGTTAGAGGCTTACAATCATCGACAAAAGACAGGGTTAACAAAATATAAAACACAAACAGCAGAGCAAACAATACTGGTTGGGGAAATATAAAAAGGTACAAAATACAGAATGTCAGAGGACAAAGAAATATAGGGCCTAGGTCCTTGGAAGGGGAGAAAGGGGGAAACACAATGGCCCCTTTCCACTGCAAGAGGAATTTCTCCTTGTTAGCTCACTCACCCCAAGTCACTAAAGCTGGGACTTGAACTTGGATCTCCCATGTGGTAGTCAGAAACACTGCTACACAGCCACCAGTGCTGGTACTGCTCCAAGCTGCTAGGGGTCTTGACCTTCCTGGAGCCCCGGCCTCACGTCGAGCTGCCTGGTCTCTGATTGGAGGAGCTGGAAGCCAAGCTGGGAACCCCTCAGGTCGCTGCTCCGATCCTTGCTGAAGCGGGAAGCCTCTCCTGCTGGCCACGGCCTCTCGTAGGGGATCCTGGAGCCCAGCAGGAAGCCTCTCCTGCCGGCCACATGCCGTGCTGCTGAGTGTCCAACTGCTTCCTGCAGGTCCCGCCCCTTCAGGCTCTTCTGGGGCAACTGCTTCTGCCCCGCTGGCTCAGCTCTTGCCAGCTCTTTGAAGCTCCTTCCTCGTGGTCCCTCGCTGGTCTCTCCCTGAGTCAGCCGTGCTACCTCTTTTATCCCCCTCCAGGTGACCCAAGGGGCCAATCAGGGGACATGAGGGGCGAGTCTCTGGGGCCTGATTGGTGAGGAAAGGGAATCCCAAGTCCTCCAATCATCTTTTGCCCTTTCAAAACCCCTGGGCTAGGTCACTGCCAACTAACCCGTCACATTATAAAAAAGTTTAACAAGTGTCTTTTGTTTGACAGAAGCCTTGAAGAATTTTAAATAAAAAATTTAGGCTGTGGTTCTGACATGCATCACTGTTTCTCTTTCCTTTCTACTTTTTAAGGCTTGTGTGGATGTAAGAGCAAGCAGTGTATTTTGGCAGCAGATGGAATTAGCAGAAACCATTCAAGGACAGCCTAAATTACCAGAATGGCTCTCCACGCACCCTTCTCATGAAAACAGAGCTGAACATTTAGACCGGCTTATTCCAGAGGTAAGCAGAGATTGCAACTTTTTTCTGCAGAAGGCTGCTATAGTTTAGTGTTGATTCATGAGCTAATTTTTAGTATTGCCTTTATCTTGCTCTCTATCTTTGCAAAAAACTTTCCTTTATAAAATACTAACCTGCTCAGACCCTCCATTAGGTGAAGAGAAATTAAACCAATATAGGTAAAATGTAATTATTCTCTGGACTTCCTAGCTTTTCCCTGATTTTGATTAAGATGTACGATTTTTAATTTGTTAATTGCATTCTTTGTAATCAATACTGGCTTGATAAAGTAACACCGATCTTCTATGACCATTACTGCTGTTCTGCAAACCAGAATTGGCATTGGGACCCTAAATTATTTTCTCTTCACTTCCTGGCCCACTTGCCTTTAGGTTATCATGCCATGCCTTCTTGCTTTCTCTTACTGATGTGGGGTTGAACGTATCTTGAAGAGTTTTCCTTCAGAAGGATCTCAGATTCCCCAGTAGAAAGTTTCTTAATAGTCCTAGTAGTTATGGGGCTCTGTAGATGTTGTAGGCTGCTTTTATCTTTCCATTTCTCCGGCTGTTCCATTGCATGAGAGAGCAAATTCTACCTGACTAATGAAAGGGAGCTAATTCACATAACTGCCCATCCATCTGCAGCTTTGTCCTTTGTTCTTTCTTTCAAATGCCCACTTAAGAATGCCAAGTGAGTAACTGGGAATCTTTAATTTGCTCAGTTGCCTATTGGTAGCCGAAGCAAAAATCAAGCCCTATACGAGAAGTGGCTTTATACTTGAAAACGGTTCTGATTTCATTAGTGTTGGTTTGTGTACCATTCTTAAACGTGATACTTCAGCTATGGAAATGTATCATGGATGATCATATAGGTCAGACTTTCTTTTTATAAAAGAAATGAATGCTGTGACTGTCTGTTGTGACCCTTTAGAGCAGCAAATCTATTCTTTTTTCCAACACAATAAGCTTCATTTTGAAACGTCCTTCTTCGTTCCAAAACATGTGACTGCTGCCTATATTATTTTTTTTGCTCCTTGTCAACTACCATATATGGCCTTTCCTGTTTCCATGATGTAATGATTGGATGGGGATTTACTGGCATAGGGAATATAAAAATATAGAGACTTTGTATTACTTCCTGTGACAGAGAAGACTCTCAAGGATCCTCTTTTGGAGAGAGTGTAGTAAATGTTTTAAATGATGGCATAAGTCAAAATAGAGATTGAGGTAGACTGAAGAATGTCTAGACTCTTTTTTTTTTCAAAATACCTCACACCTAAAACCATCCACTTCAACTAGATCCCTCTGATTTTTTTTAAAGCTGTGAATGTTGTGAATGTTGAAAAAAATCCATTAGAGTAGCTGAAGTGGAACATGATGGTTGTTTTAGAGCCATCCTTGTAGTTGGATCTAACCTACAGGTGAAGAATCAGACTTATGAGGAGAGGTTGAGGGAACTGGGCTTATTTAGTCTGGAGAAGAGAAGACTGAGGCGGGTATTAATGGCAGCCTTCAGCTACCTGAAGGGTGTTTGCAAAGAGGATGGAGCTAGACTGTTTTCAGTGGTGGCAGATGAGACCATTGCTCCTTGTTCTGTCAGGTTGCGACAAGGGAAGTTTAGGTTGGATATTAGGAAAAAACTCTCTAGGAGGATAGGAAAGCACTGGAATGGGCTACCCAGAAAGGTTGTGGAATCTCCATCCTTGGAGGCTTTTAAGACCTGGCTAGACAGTCTTGGCTGGGATGATTTAATTTAGGGATGGTCCTGCTTTGAACAGGGAGCTGGTCTTGTTCTGTCAGGTTGCGACAAGGGAAGTTTAGGTTGGATATTAGGAAAAAACTCTCTAGGAGGATAGGAAAGCACTGGAATGGGCTACCCAGAAAGGTTGTGGAATCTCCATCCTTGGAGGCTTTTAAGACCTGGCTAGACAGTCTTGGCTGGGATGATTTAATTTAGGGATGGTCCTGCTTTGAACAGGGGGCTGGTCTAGATGACCTTCCGAGGTCCTTTCCAACCCTAATTTTCTGTGATTCTGATTTCTATTCTACTGATTCTTGACACTTTTTTTGTACAGGGTTTCTAGGGTAATAATTAAGTAGTGCTTTATCTGAGGTAGGATGCAGAATCTAAGAGCAAAAAGAAGTAACCTTATGACAGTGTGGACATTTACTCTATTACCCATGCTTGATCTCTTGTAGCTTACCAAGTTGAACACCCCTTTTTTTTTCCTGCACCCCAATCCTTTGCAAGAGCAGCCATTAGACAGGTGGAATGTCCTTGCAGTCTTCTCCCCTGTGATAGTTGAAGAAGAGGAACAAAGGCTTTATTTTATTTTCCCCTTCAAATGTCTCTGGAGTAGGGTACAAGCTGCATGCTCCCCAACATGAGTTCAGTGGAGAAGTGCAACTGATGCCTCCGCAGGTAGAGAGAATTATGGGAAGAGACATGGGAGAGGACTGATAGAGTATGTCTACATAGCATAATGCAGTGCTATGTACCTCTGAACAAGCTAGCTCTAGTCTTGGAAGTAGTTTATCTCTATAGCCAAGGCAGTGTCCCGCTTTTCAGGAGGAGAGATTAGCCCAAATGCAGCATCTTGCTAACACAGGTACAGGTTTCCCTTGCTTTATGCTGTACATATGTTCCTGGAAAACGGTGCATAACTTGAATTTGCATAAAGGGAACCCACTTTACAATGTAACAAATAGGGATACGTTCCAAGACCTTGACTGTACTGACCCCCCAGACGCATTTCTACCACTTTTTCCAGGACAATTTTTGTGCTCGCCAACAGCACACAGGACACACAAGCACAGGGCACTATCGTAATGGGGATGGCAACTACAGAAACACATGTCGCAGACAGCGAGCGAGGAGCACAGATCCACACAGGAAACTATATTTTGGTGTGCATCACTCCCACAATGCACCGCAGAAAGCAGCTGACTGTGGGCTTCCACCATACCGATTGCATAAGAGTGAATTTACCTCGCATATAACACATTTTTGGAATAAAAAGAGTCATCGTGTAAGAGCGAATTCACACATACTGAACCTGCATAAAGCGAGGGAAACCTGTATTCTGTTTCTAGTGTACATAGACTAGCTCGGTCAGGCCTAGCTCAGATATCTCTACATGGCAGTGTAAGGTGATGAGTGGTGACATGCTGCCACAGAGCTGTGTTGTCTCTGGGTTGGCTGGTTATCAGGGTTGGAAGTCCTACAGCACCATTCTCGCTTACCAGCAGCAGCTTGTTTTAGCATCCTTATGTTATGGTTCTCTCAGGAGAGCACATTCATCAGACATTAGGGTTCATCAATTATACAGGGAGGGAGTAAACAATAAAAGTTTTTTTTTGCAAGTGCCCTGGAATACATTTATTTGTTTTGTACAAACAGACCCAAGCAGCCATGCTTTGCAGTGCAGTTTCCTCTTGAGACCTCTCTGAGATGGTTCTGAAGGAGTCAGATTGAGCGCCAAGCAGTATAGCTGCATTAGTGTGGTGATCAGCATAGGCTGATTAGTCCTGCTGTGAGGCTAGTTATTAGGAGTGCACTGATAAAGATTTTCTTGGCTGATTAACTATAGCTGATTATTAACCAGCCATATTGGCTGATACTGACCCTATAGCTGATTTTACAGGAATGCAGCCCAGCAGCGTGGAGAGCAGCGCCTGGCTTGTAAGTTTGTGGTGGGGAAGGGGCATGGAGGGGGCCAGCTTGAGGTCCCCATGGTGAGGGAGGGAGTGGCTCAGGGACAGGTGCTGCCCAGCCAGGACAGTGAATGTGAGCCTCGGAGTGGGACAGACCCATGGGTGGCTCACCTGGGGGGCGTGGGGGAGGGGGGCGGCTCCCTGCCACTGCGTGCACCGCTCGGGAAGGCATGTGCCCCCAGATTTGTGTTCTAGGCGAGGGTGGGCATCTCACTGTGGGCTCAGGGCCAGGGGCTGTATCAGCCTCTACTTAGTGGGGAAGAGGGGGAAGGAGATGGACGGCGGCACTGTGGGGCCTTGGGGGCTATGGCCCTTGCCTTGCGCACAGATCTGGGGGGCACATGCCACCATCCCTCCCATGGGGATGCGTACAGCATCAGGGAGTCACCCCCCCTCCACTCCCCCACAACACCCCCTCCCCTGGAGGAGCTGCTTGTGGCTCCATCCCACTCCCAGGGTTGCATTCACCTGCTCCACTCCCTCCCTCACCGTGGAGGCCTCGAACTGCCCCTTCCCCCCACAGACTTACCGGCAGGAGCCTGCTCCCCAAGCTGCAGGGCTGCATTCTCGGCCGCGTGCATGAGCGTGGCTGCACGCATCCATGTGCTATAATTATCAGTAACATTGTAAGCTACATCAGCCAAAAAAAGTCAATTGCCGATAATTTTAATGTTCCTTTTATCGGTGCCGATCCAGTATGTCACCCATATATCAGTGCACCTCTGCTGATTATCCCAGGTAGAGTACCATGCTCATGTGATAGTACTGCTTCTGGTACTGAAGTAGCTTGGGCATCTCAGTGTACAACTATATTGTTTTGTGTTGGTATATTCTTGAAGGAGTTTCTCTCTCTCAAGACTGAAGAATCTCTGCTGTTTGCAACTAGCTCAAATGGTTTTGTGATTTTTGTGACATAATTATACAACTGTTAATGCAAACCAGCTTCATACAGATTGACAGGAGGAGCCATTACAAATGCATTTTTCTGTTTGTTCTTGTTTTTAAATCCCTGGATAACTTCATGGTAAAACTTGTCTAATTCAAATGAAATAAAAATAAGTTACTGACAGTATGTAACCTAGACATTAATATAAATTGTTTTCGTAACTAGAATGCTCATGTGGAAAATTGGAGAACATAGACATACATCAACCTTTTTCTATTTAACGATCTAACCATTTCAAAATACCACTGTATGATGCCACGATACAGCTATTTTAATGCCAATGTATTTTAATTTGCCTTTGAGCAAAACAAGATCAATCCATTATAGCTGTTTAATACTATGGT